TTTGACCATGCTGAGCCGAATGCGGGACAGCTTGCACTAGGACCAGCAATATGTCGCCCAACAGGAGAGAGAAGAGAGAGGTACCTTGACCGAGGTGAACGATCGATCGAGAAAGAGGCTTTGTGCACGGCCACGCTTGTAGATTGTCTGGAACGTGGTGGCGGTGCCCGCATGCGCGTGCAGGAACGCGAGCTCGGCTGGTGAAAACGCTTTGCCCGCTTCCGAGCGAGTTGGCGATGCTGCCTCGACCGTGTCCGCTCTATCATGCCACGTAAACTGTCATCCCACGGCGGATTCGCATACCGCTGCGCACTGAGGTGCTCTCGTGGCGATGCGCGTGCAAAGGGGGGCGCGCGGCGAGCACGGGTGCTCGGGCCGTCTCTTGGCGCAGGAGCGGTCTTGGGCCGCTTCGAATCAAGGTAGCTGCTATCGATGTAGAAGCCTCATTCTTCTTCACCATTCGTCGCATATGGTCGTACCCATGGCTATCACGCGAGAGAGGCGAAGAAGCGTCCGCACCGCGCTTCTCACGTCGGCCCCGCTCTGAGCTTCGGGTTGATAATGGCACGCCTACGGTGTTGTCGGTGGCGAGTTTGAGCTCGGCGTGTTCATATTGTGAGGCGATATTGCATACCTTGCGACGCGCCAACGTCACGCACAATGGCTGTGGTGGCGCTGCTGGGACTGAACGTGGCGTCTGTCGCCGTGGAGTCGACTGTAGCATGCCGGATCCCAGCCTTTGGCGGTGTAGCATTCTGGCGGCCGAGACGCTGCAACGCCCAGTACTCGACAAGCCGACGCCGCATGTAGGTATAGTCCCATGCAGGCTCGTCGGTGCGCCAGGTTTCAAAGACGTCGGCCATCGCCGGCGGGCACGCGTTGCAGAGCAGCGTCACCTTCAAGCGGTCCGCGGCCGCCACAAGCCGCGCATCAGAGCCATGGCTTGGCACAAAGATGACGTCAACGTAGCGTTGGATGTGCTCCTCGAGGGTCGTAAGGTCATCGGGCAGCGCGTCGTTGCCGGCCAAACGCACAACTTCAAGGTGACCAAAGAGGCGGCAGTCGTCCATGAGTACGTAGCCCTTGGCATGGACCTCAGCCCAGAGCACCGACGGTGACTTGCCATCGTCGAGCTCGTCGCGGAGGTGTGGCGATAGCGCCGAGAGCAGAAAGGCCACAGCCGCTGCCATACTGCGGGCTTGAACCGCCGTCGCCTCGGCTTGCATGGCGTCGGCCACATGCGCAACGATCGCATGTGCGCGCGCGAGCACAGCTTCGCCAAACGTGGCCAACGACAAGCCATGTGGCACGGGCGGCACAGCGATTTCGGCTGCGGCGTGGAGCGCTGCGCCCCGGGCAGGCGAGATGCACGCGTCGATCGCAGGGACTGCCGGGTCATTCGCGGTGTAGAGCTCGCGCAGACCACGGGTGGCTGCGGCGCCGAGGAAGCCGCGCTTCCACGCAGCGAAGTCGCTCCAGTCTGCGAGGACCGGCCCTGGGAACGGCGCTACCATGGCTTGCATTCGTATTTGTGCGTCGACAAGATCCTTGCTGGCGTCAGATTTGAACACATGCCACGCCGCGTGAGGGTCCAATATAATTATATTTTACATTAAAAATGCGTTGAAACGTGTGTTAGATCGAGACTAACACGTGTGATGAGCTGGCACGCTGCGCGTGCAGATGCCGTCGCACACTGTGGAGAAGAAGCATGAAGTCGAAACGCAGCCCAAGCCAGCACTCGGCCATATCAAGAGACGTGCCATGACCGTAAACGTAGCTTTGCTAGCACCAGGGTAATACGTATATACATGCCCTTGCTACACCTACCGGGTTCGGCTCTTCGCATCGCAGCGATCCTCGAGCCTCTCGTGAAGGTCGCCTCTTGCCTAACCTATTGCTACAGATGCAACCACAGTAGGGGCATCCAACTGCTGAAAGACTTGTATGTAGAACCAACAATGGAATATTTCAAAGACTGACTTCAATGTTAGCGTGGTCGGCGACCGCAGCATGTGCGACGACAGTTAGCTACGGTGTAAGCCAGTGTTCGCTGCTGCCTTCCATCAAATCACGCGACCCGACTAGATGCTGCTTGTGTCGACAGCCTTCATGCGACCAAGCTTGCTCTATCGCCGATGATGCTATTAGAACAGAGAGAGCGATGGTATACCTGTATCGAGCTCACGGAGCGGTTGATGAAGAGACCCTGCGCACGGCCACGCTCAAAGATGGTGGCGCCCGACTCGGTTGCGCATCGTTGAGCCGCGCGTAAGAACTCGACTTCTTCTTCCGTGAAAGGTGCGCCACAGCTGGACGACGAGATTGTGCTGCTGCGGCGCGATGGCGATGCGGCTGACTTCAACGCGCTAACCCTTCATGTAGACAGCTGCAAGCACTGCTGGAACGTGTACCGGAGTGCACCGAGGTGTTGTCGCGGCGACACGCGTGTGGCAACACTGTCCTGCTGCAGTCGACCCACCGCCGCTACAGGCGCATAATAGATAGCTAAGGACACGCGCCCGCACCTTGTGGTTGCGGGAGTGTCTGCTTGCGCCGCTTGCATTCGTGCTGGTGGTTGCTGCTAGAACAAACGCATCACTGCAACACCACCTCTACATGTGCAGTGGATGCGTACCCTGGCGGGTCGGTCATGGCGGCGTCAGTCGAGCGCTTCTCAGGCCGACCTTTCTCAGTGCTGCTTGTTGCATGGTCCGCGGAGTGGTCTACGCTCGCATCGAGTTGTCGCATTTGGTGGAACGCACGCATGGCATCGACCGCGTTGCTGTCGACAAGGGCGTCGATGGCTGTGCTTGAAGAGGGTGCTTCGTCTGCTGCTGGGGCAACGGCGGGGCAAGCATTCGTGACACTTGTCATGGCCACGGGCAGCGCATCGGCTGCCATCGCCTCTGGAGCATCGACGACGGGTTCAAGTGGAGCTTCCCGCGCAGACGAGATGTCGGCTTCGGGATCGCGACGCAGCGACTTCCAGTGCTCGACAAGCCGACACCGCACGTATGCATAGTCCCATGCAGGCTCGTCGGCACGCCAGGTTTCAAAGACGTCGGCCATCGCCGGTGGGCACGCGTTGCAGAGCAGTGCCATCTTCAAGCGGTCGGCAGCCGCTAAAAGCCGCACATCAGAGCCATGACTCGGCACAAAGATGACGTCGACGAAGCGCTGGATGTGCTCCTCCACGCGTGCGAGGCCGTCGGAAAGCGCGTCGTCGTCGACCAAACGTACGTTCTCCAGGAGCCCAAAGAAGCGGCAGTCGTCCACGAGCACGTTGCCCTTGGCATGGACCTCGGCCCAGAGTTCGTACGGCGTCATGCTGTCGTCGAGCTCGTCGCGGAGGTTGGACGAGAGTGCTGAGAGCAGT